TTATTTACACTTTCTTTTAAAATGTATTATAAAATCAATCCATAAAAACTTATAAGTACCTATAGGGATAAGTTTATTGTTATACATTATTATAGTACTTTACTTTTATATAACTTGTATAGTGGTTTACAGTAGCGTATTTAGATATCATTTTTGAGGTGGGCCATAATATATCGCAACTAACAATAATGATTTAGCACCTAGAGGCTACTATATATTTAACAGTTAAGGCTGTAATTTTGGGAGGGGCTGCAGGCCACTAGGCTATTCCCTTATATGCGCCACTGGTGGTATAGGTATGAGTGTATGACAATGATAATGTAGGAACATTAATGACTTAAAATATTAACTAATGTTAACTATTAATGTTATTTAAAATATAATACTTTATAAATGAAAAAAAATGTAAAAGTATTAATTCCTGGGATCTTTAATAATATTACTGATTATTATCTAAGACTTTCGGTGAAAAATAACTCATGACTTTGTACAAATTGCTTTTAAAAAATAATTTTTTATAGTTATGTTAAATTAAACAAAATGAAGTAACTATACAGTGTTACCGTAAAAGTAATTTTATTATTCTAATTTGTAATTTATATTATGTTACTTCTCAACTTCTCAACACTAAAAGACTCAAATTAAACATTTTAGTGGAAGATCATTATTAAAAACTGTAAAAATTGCACTGCTGTATTTATATGATGTGTTGATTGTTGATAATATCTCATCATAGAATACCTGGGTTCTAGGTAACCAGTGGATATGTAAAAATTTTAATTCAATCACAGATTAATAAAAATGATTCTAAGTGGGGACGTTATGAAAAGGGCTTGTATTTTAAATATATTATTTATAATATTTTATCATACAATATTATTATAAATTTAAAAATTAAAAGTTGATAGAACTGTATGATCTGTACGATGGTGAATGTAGTTTCATGGTATAAATATCCAAAAATTAGTCCAAGTGATTAAATAGTTATAAAAGTAGTAGTTACTTTTAAGTTTTAACTTAACTAGTTGTATTTTTGCTGTACATTTTGAGGAACTTGAATAGTTATTTTTAAAAAGTCTTTAAGTTTATCAAAGTTTTTTTAATAAACTATTCTTAAATAATGTAAAACATTTTTAGTATAAAAATGTAATCAATATTTTACGTAAATTAATTTAATAACATACCAATTGAATATCATATTTGTTATAATTATAGTCTCTTGTATAACAATTATAACATATTTGTACTTTGTAGTAGGTACCTATATAACTTTTTGGTAGGTTAGTTAGTTTTTTAATTGACAAACTCAAAGTCTAACATCTAAGATACTATTATATTTCTTAAGTAGGTAACTTAAGTATAAAACAAGTAACTTTAAAAAAAATGTCTAACTTAAAGTGGTTAGAAATTATCACCAACTTGATTAAACACTATATTTAATATTATACAAAATGGGACCTTTAGTTGTGATCAGGTAGGTATTTGAAAATAAGGAATGTCAGTGATTTAGTATTCATGCATCGCATTCGCCGCTTTGAAATTCATTGTGTAGGTGTTAGGCAGGTGTGAGGTGGTTGTAGTCTAGCAGAAAATACAGATACACAAACTTTTACAATAGATTCCGTCAATGTAGATAAGAACATACGATGACATGATAATAAAACTTTTTATGAGAATTTAAAACAGGTAAACATRGTAGTAATTTTTTAATGCTAAGTGTTAACACTTATAAGGTACTAGTGTCTAGTAGTTATTTAGGCAATATTTAAAAGGATTTAAATTAAAGTTCAAGTTTTCAAATATTTGATTTTGAATTTTTATATATGTCGCATTACATAACGCAACTGGCATCAGTAGTTGAGGCATCAGAATTCCAATGAGATCCTCTGGAGAAGTTCTCATTGGCGTAACATTATTAATCATTAATGATCATGGAGTTACTTCATCATATGATATGTAATGGTTAAGTTGTAACCACTACTGATGCGATTGTAGAACATGTCGCCAGGATACTTAAGCAACTATGTCCCATAGGCCCACATTAGTCTTGCGTTTTAGTCGTGCCCACAATGACGGCACTGATGAGCTGACAGACGGTGCCCGGTGACTCGGGTGGGTCGGCAAGACGTCCAAAGTTTTGCAAATGGTGAGTGTAATAGGGTGGCTGCAAATTTGAGTTCCATAACTTACGCTGAAGCTTCGCACTTGACGGCCGTCGATACATCATTGTCAACAAGCGCTATCTACCGGCATCGATTACCGTCGCGTCGTTCAAAAATTGTTCAACACAGCGAGTAGACACCACCGTGACGCGCTCTAGTACTCACTATCCGATTAGTGGTTTTCATACGAAAAAAGAATCAATTCCACAATGTTTGAGTCAAATTTAAAGTCGTGGTGAAGATATTTACATTTCAGTGAGATAATTAAAGAAGCAATCGTTATTTTAATTATTTATATTCGGCCTAACATCTCCTCACGAAATACTGATTGGCGAAAGCCGATACTTCAATACTTGGATTCGATATGTACTACACCAAGTACCAAGTGCCAATATAGTAGGTACTTACGATTCGGTGATTGATGAACTTAATATTATATCTGATTTAATTCTACTTCCAAATAACAGTTTTTGAACGTTTCACCACACTCGCATGTTGTGTTATTGCCAATTAATCACCGTCTCTATGTATAGTAATTAGGTAACAATTAGGTACTATCCTATTTGGTAAATTTATGATATGAAATATTTCTAGCGCCTTATGTATTACTATTACGTCTTTATTACGCGCCTCAGCTGACTGTTCTAACAAATATATTTAAGTATACACAATATATGTATTTCCTGCACAATCTGTTACATTCAGAACAGTAAGTGTAAGTGATATAAGATTTTAAACTCTAACAAATAATATAATATTAAATGTATTATGTTCAATGAGTTATGGCTAAACACAATTTTTTCTATATAAATGTTATGTACAGTATTTATACGCGGCTGGGTTAGTTATGATTGTAAATTTGTAAATAACTTCATTGACTTATAATTTGGCATGTGAAACATTATGAATATGATTTTCTCTTGTAAATATTATCGAATAGATTTGTTATTTCCGTTCTACTCTTATATATATATATATTTAATTTTACTTTAGTGTGTAGTATAAATTATACTGTATGATGAATTAATAAATGACTAATATTACATATAAATTTGATAAAAATTGCCTATATATTGTATTGGTAGGTTGGTAGGTATGTAAGAATTAACTATTAAGTTTTTCCAAAACGAGATATTTTCAAAGGATAAGTAACTTTAAACTATAATAATATTAGTATGTGTGTTTATAATCAATTGTGGTAGTCAGCAATCTGCGGCRCGCATGTAGTTCTCATAATAATTGCATTTGGCTCGGCGCCTGATAAGTAAAATGTATAATATGGATAAAAATCACGTAGTGYAGTCTGAAAACTGCGAACTTTTTAGATTATTGATAACTAGCTTAATTAATAAATCAAACAACTATGAACCTAAAACGAACCAAAGTTGATATGATAAAAGATTTTTGTTTAAAATTCAAATTGTGGCCTATGAAAAATGTATTTTTTGGCCTTTGACGCCATAAAGATTGACGAACACACTGTATTATTGTATAATATTAATATTAATTTAATTATTTTTCAATWAATAAATAAAAATATATTTTTAGTATAGTAATGGAAATGTCATAAATCTTTCACTTTTGTTCAAATAAAATCATGATATTTATTATAAACGTCGTTTTCAAATCCTGCACTGCAGCACATCTGCACGATTAATCGTGATTATTCATCATATAGTTTGGCGTTTTGTTAGACTTCGTTTTTAAGTCTAAACATAAAATATGTTTGTATATATATTTATTATAAATATTCTAACAATGATAAAATATTGGGAAACGCACATCAGTATAGACAGTAGTGTAATTGCCAATAAGACATKTTCCTGAGGAGGTTCATTATATTATAAATAATTTTGTTTTGCACTCTTAAAATTTCTAAGTATTTAACGGTAATAAATACCTCAAATGATAAATTCATTTTCTATAAACGACAATCACTCCAATACTTTTACAAATGGTCGCCCGTAAGGGGGACCGAGGGGAACCATGCTCCCGCTTTTTAGTCAATATGAATGTTTAATAACTAGTAAAAAAAAATTAGTATTTGCTGTATTATCAGGGATTTTTGCCTCCTAAAATTTTATATTTTTACAGTAGCCATTTCATTGCTGCATAGCTGTTCTTATTTTGAATAAAATTACAAAAAATACATGTAAGTAAAAGACGTAAAATCACCACTGTGATTGCCATGCTACAAAACTATACGAAATATGTATATAGGTACTATACAACACAAATATTGACATAGGTATTTGTAATATTTGTAGTATACTTAACTATTACAATGTATGCAATTTTTTGTAGTGCACTATGTAATCGTTATGAAAACGCGAAAACTTATCATTGTGTAATCATGTTTAGTTATTATAAAATGTGAGCCTCTGTCCCTTGCATTATAATTATGCCAAACATTCCGCACCTTAGCCATCCATATCAAGTTGGGACACAGACGCTAGACGCATATTTACGTCAGTCGACGTCCTGTATAATATAGGTTGATCTAATGATCTGTTGATCCATTAATGTGTTAAATTGATAATAGATTGTAATATTTCATTTCGAATCGCGTGGTGTAGTGTTGTGTAATGTGCGTCACATCGTGTCGCGCCGCCGAAAAGRTCGACGGGCGGACGGCGACCTCGCAACCCCATGCTTTATTTACAGATGACTAGCTGGGCACCACGAAAATAACTCCGTGCCGCCACCGCCCCATTGAGCGATCGTGTGAGTGTGCGTCGCTGCTGGGCGTAAGAGCGCGTGCGCACTTTGTCTATGCGAACCGTGCCGACGATTTGTTATTTACGTTTCGCACTTTCGCGTGTCCATAGTCGCTGGTTGAGACTGTTATCGCCAAAAACGGAATTTTGGAATGCGAAAAAATTAAACCAGTACAATCCTGAGAACTTGTATTGCATTCGTACGCCACTGTGATTACGGCGCTGTAAGGTGTAGTAAGAAAAAGTATCACGCTGGTCGGTGACAGTTTAATATTATAATAATTATTATAAAACACCTCTGACCTCTATCCGGTGATAACCCCGTTTTGTTGTTGTTCCTTACTCCCTCTTGCCGGGCTGCTCTCTCTCACTCGCTCTCTTTTGCTCTTCCCCACGCCGCCTTCCGGTTACATACACACACAATATACACATACACATACACATGTACACACATACTATTAGCGGATACACTTGCGCACGCGCACGCGACGGCGCACACGTACGCGATGTCGACTGATGACGTATAAACCGAGGCGACCGCTTTTCTCATGATAATACGATACTGTTTTTAAACGCACACGCACGCACACTAATAACGCGTAATTGTATATAAATTTTTTTTCCTCTCTTCTCTTAACCCTTAACGTGTCGCACCGTTCGTCGCCCGGTTATTGGGCGCCCACATATCGGCTGATATCGCGACCGCGATGCGTATGACCTATCGTCTACCGCTCGTCGCCGACGTCGCCATCGCCGTCGCGCCGTCGTCATTTTTGTCTTCACCTTAATTGTTGTACTCGACATCGTCGCCTCCCTCAACTTCGTTGTCACCTTCGTCTTCGAAGCCTCCGTTGAGTACGTACATGGTACTACTACCGTAGCAGTGTAAACTAACGGTTTACGGGAAATAAGTTTTGCGCCGACACCGCCTCAACAGACGTGGCCACACTCCCGGAAACTCTGTCGACTTCCGATGTGCCGTCGTCCACCATCGAACTGATGTGCGTCCACCGCCTGTCGAATACGATGATCCGTTCCCGTTGAAAACGTTGGAACTTCACTACTGTTGCTACAAGGTACGTGTTCTCTGTGGTCCACTTTTGACCCGTTTTTCAGGATGATCTGTTGGCGTCTTAGGCGTAGCCCCCCATGTCAACAGTGGGCGTCGTATATGCATTGGCTCATAATACCGCTGCTGTAATAATYAGTTTGGCTGTCCATTGTTTTGGCATCCTGTTGTAGTGTCTGGTGACCCATCTGATGCTGTGGCTTGCCCATAATTTCATTGTGCTGAACTTGCACTCCGGGACTGCACTCTCTAATCTGTATAMATTTCACATCTCCCTCGTCCCTGTTTTAATATTTGATATATTTCTGTTTTTATGCTAATCACTCGACATGATTCCTTGGCTATGTTAATTACCTAGACTTTAGTTATCCGTTCATTTTTACAGTCCATTAATGATATAATGGATCTTAATATCTTCTTAGCTCAGCTGCCAAGTGGTTTTCTATAATTTTCTCCAATCCATGAACCTGATCTACTTCAGATCAGCTAGGTTTCATTTTTTCAATTGTAGATGTCTGTTTATTTTTCAATTAAAATTTAATTCTATTTTGCATTAATTAACTCCCATAATTGAGTACCTGTTTATTTTAAATAGTTACTATAAGACATAAGTTCTATTAGACTTAAAGCTGTAGAAAATATTGCTCCRGGCAACCTGGCCAGATTGACTTGTTGGGCAGCATTCTTGATCTTTAAAAAAGTATAAATAATTAAGGAAAATTCTCATTAAAAATATTAATTGATTTTTTTCTCTTTTTATTTAAATTAAACAATACTTTTTAATACAATTATTAATAATATATTGAAATATGTATAAGTAGCCACATAAGTGTAGGCATTAATGTATTACTAACTTACTTGTATTATTTATGAACTAAAAAGATGTATTGTAATAATATACATGAAAATAACAATAGTATGGAACAACTTAAATTAAGTATAAATTAAAAAAAAAATAATATTCATAGGTACTACCTACCTAAACTGGTAAACATAAAGTTAAGTAGGTATCCCAACTTCAGTCCTTAAAACTAGATAAAACATTTTTAATGCCAAAAAAGAATATATTATTTTTATTTCAAAGTTTGTATAGTGTAATAGGTACTGCTTTTACAATTGAAGTTTGTGTTGGATATGTAATTATTTGTTCAAAGACCCTTTGTTTTTRCTTTTAGTCAGGGACTAAGAACAAGTACCTAATTACCTAATTTAAACAAATATAAATTATTTATTGGGGCTAATCTCTATATCTACCGATGAATGCTTATGGCTTTGGCTTTTTAWTTTTTAGCTAATCAAATAAAATATAGCCACCACAAATTTAATGATCGATAATCCTAATATTATAGATTGAGTACCTAACTATTTAACCTATTTACCTTTAGATTTATACTGTCGACCTGTAGAGTAGGTACTCATCAACAGCTTTTTTAAAGATAAGTACGATCAAACATAATATTTGAACATGATGTTAACTGCCTTAAATTAGATTGGTACCCATGCATTAAATATAAATATTTGAACATCAGAGTTGTAATATCTGTGTAATTATAATGTATGGTGGAACTATGCTCTTAGAATGTAAACAATATGTAACATTAATTAAATAATTATCAAATTCAATAAATATTGATATCTAGTTTATTCTGTTAATTTACAATCAAGTTTGCTGGTTGCTTTTTGATATTGTTATCCTTCAGAATTGTGTCTGAATGTATCTGCATTTAACTCTACTCCCTTTTATMATTTTATGGTAAAAATCAACTAAATAATAGAAAAATAAGTAGGTAAGTAAAAATGTTTTATTTTATTATCCTAGGTGAATAGGCAACTAATAAAACTTCATCTGGCAATAYCTATATACTTTCATTATTTAATTTTATGTTACTAGAAATCTATTTGCATATTTGATTGTTGTTTACAGTTGTTTATGATTGCGCCCAACTTATAGGTAAATCATCCCAATTGTGATTAATTTATTTTTGATTCAATTTTTTAATAATCAAAAATATTTTGTTGAATATGCAGAAGGGTAGTCTAAATATTGTTTGACATTTATTAATTTATTATATTAATTTTATTGTTTCCATAATATATATTTTGGTTAGACACCTAGATATTTTTTGATTATTTTGGTTCTCTTCGTGATCTATCTTAAATTCTTGTGGTCAAAACAATCTTTTTGTTAATAGTTTATTATCCATGCATACATTTTATCTTGAAAATTATGGTGAAGAATGTGCCATGTTAACTAATAAATAAGGAGAGCTGAGTCATTAAAAAAAAAATAATTAGTTCATCAGTTTAATGTGGTCACCATTCGTTTGGTTTTAGACAGTTTTAGTATAACACCTACATAAGTAAAATATTAAATTATACTGAGAATTAAATGTTAGTAAGTATATGATCTATCTAAAGTATCTATACAGTTATTTGTAGGCAATACCTATTATATTATTATATTTAATATTATATCTGCATCATAGTTGTGGAATTTGAAAATATACCAAAACTTATGGGCTTATAATTTTTATAAAACTCTTATAATGAATTAATATTATTTAAATGTTAACTTGATGGTTTAAATCTAAAATATTATTTAATTATTAGTTAAAAAAATTCATACCTATTTTAATTTAATATAATGCATTATTAACTAAGGTCTTAATTAATTTTTTTCAAATGTGATTTCAGGCGTTTTGAGTGTCAAATTATCAATGAGTAATCAGCTGGTCGACTCATGTTTGTAAGTAATAAGTATATTGTAATGGAGATGGTCATTCTTTTAATGTTAAAAATGAAAATGTATAACATTTTAAAAGGAGCTTAACATTAACAAATTTTTACAAATGATTAACATCAATTATTAATAATTTGGTTTATAACAATAGTTGTGTTCTGCAATGATATTTGCTTTATTGCATAGCATATACATATACTATGGTCTTCATCATAATATTATATATTATATTTTAATTTATAATATATTATTATTATAGTTGTTACCTACTGTAACCTAATTATACTATTTAAAAAATATTATACATTATTTAAATGATTTATCATTATGTGACTAAGTAAATATAATGAAAGTTTTATTTCATGGTTTATTTAGGCACATATACTTCAAAAATAAACTTAAAATATTAATTACTTATTATGTTTTTGAAAGTAGAAGTGTTGAAGATCATATTTTTATGAATACTTTTTAATGTTTATATTACTATAACAATTAGCTTTTATTAAATAAAATTAAGTTTTATCTAATAAAATAATTAATATTTTATGGGAATATTAACTATTTWTATTCTCTGATTAGTGAGAAAACTAATTGATTCTGAAAATCCCCATGTAACAATGCCACCTTAGTGGAATCTGTCTTGATGGCTGGGTATSAAACAAATTTTTGTTAGGCTATAGCGCATTGTCTTTTTGGATAGAGTGCAATAAATGCAATAATGTTGAATTGGCTTGTGTAAATATAATAAACACATTTGTTTCAAATTTGCTTGGGTGACAGGTTGGTGAACAGAAGGGTGGAGAAGCTTCAAGAGCAAAGCTTCACTTGCACTGAGATAACACAAAGGTATATTTTTTCTTTTAAAAAAATTGCCATAATATTATGTCAATTTTTAATTTTTACCTTTTTGGCTTCTATACATGCTTTGTTTAGATGTGTCATGTGTTGGTTTTTTTTATTTAGTTGTTAATAATACTATTACTGTGTACCTAATTAGTTTTTCTTGCCTTATTATAATACACAGTAGATAATAAATTCAATATTCCAGTATTCTGTATTATTAATAATTTATGAAACATAATTGTATGTATATTGTTTAAAGTTGTATGAGTTAAGAAAAAAAATGTGCATGGTATCCTACTAAAGAGCCTCCTATTTAATAATGTCAAATTATATTTATACATTTATTAATACTTGCTTTGAGACCATTTATTTTATGCACTAGCTTGTTTTTTTTTTTTAAATCAAGTAATTTAAGAATAGCCATAAATATAATTGTACTTACTATGAAGAAATGTATTTAATTTTTAATCGGTTTAAATTATTTTTAAGAGCATTATGCTAGGTCAAATATTTGCTATAAGTATTGAAAAAAATGTAGGTATTTGATTTTAATAAAATTTTGTTGGCAGTTTGTGAATATTGGGTAAATTCAAATGGTCAATGATATTATATTTGATCTCGTATTTTATGATGAATATTCAAAAAGCATACTGATTATTTTAGTTARTAGCAATATTAAACTCATTGAAATTAAAACAATTTTTCAAATATATTTATTATTTAAATTAAGATTTGTTGTATTTAAAAATTATTTTATTATTGAATGCAACAACTTTTATTTTAAATAGTATATTATAAGGAGTTCAATTTTGGTGATTTTTCAGGTGCGTGTGAAGTTTGCGAATCTGTGATCGTTGTAACTGATTATTCCTCATTATTGTGAGTGACAAATATAGTGTAAACAAAATAGTGGGGGGCTTTCACACATGCACGCACATGTCAACAGCATTAACATCACCCATTATACAAATATTATGTACTTTTTTTTTTGTCTCTAAGTCAATCTTTTGGCAATTGTACAGACTAACCTAATTATCCGATAAAATATAAGAAACCGAATTCGCCATTAAGTGTACTTGAAAAAGACATTTTTATAAATTTAAATTAATTTTTTAATTTTATTATTATTAATATTCAACAGGTTTATGTTTAAATTATAAAAGTGAAAATGCCGTTTCACATAAATTTTATGACAAACTATCAAATATGATTTCAGAATTTTTATCAGTTTATTACGATAGTTGGTACTTGATATATATATATATTATAATATTATATTAGGTATACTATATTAATATAAGATTTCAGCCCACATTTTAGCAATAAATAGTAAACAGCCGGAATAAAATCCTCTTTAAAAGTATTATGTACTATATTTATGAATCACTTTAATTGAAAAAATTATACATTCCTACTTCATTAATTATTCGTTCGATAACATAGTACATTTTTATGATTTTATGTGATGAAAAAATGTTGTTTGACCACGATTGAAATATCGCCTATCGAAGTTCGGTTAATGTATATTTTCTTATCTAAATAACATTATTACAACAATATAAAAAGTCGATTAAAATACCTCATGTCCTCGTCGTACTAAATCGTACAATGAAGTCAATTTGTTTGCTCATAATTATTAATATTATAAGACACTAACACTATAGCAACTCTTAAACAAAGTAACAATTGAATCATGTGTGTTTAATATGAAACTGGCGCATTTATTATTTGTCGAAAAATATTTATCATACTGTAGTTTTGTCGAAAAGATTAAAATATGCCCATAATGAGGTAAAAATTGTCAAAATGCTCTTTAAATTAAAAATATTAAATTAATTTATGATGAGGATAATCAATTTATTATTAGCTGTTAGTTGAAAAAATTTTCTGTAGTGTAATTTGAATTAAGTGGGAATTCCAAGTTTTAAATTTCCTGATAAGACTTGAATAAAATATTATGATACGCATGACGTAGCAATTGGTATTTCCGGCCTTTGATGTTTTGCAAACACATTCAAAATTTAGATTACAAACCGACTGTTTTTAAATATATCTATTTCCGCTTAAACGTGTCGACTAATCTATGGGWGCAGTTGGGTTTATGAAAATATATTAGAATTTCTCATATTATCTCTTATTTTAAACGACTCAACTTTTTATCAATTTCAATATCACAATGAACTTCATATTATTTAAGTAAGTATAAATTCATGAATATTGTATTATGGATTACACTGATTAAAAATAAAACAATAAATAAAAGTGGAATTAATGTCGTCGTTTCTCATGTAAACATAATGAGAAATTCTAATTTATTTCCAGTATCCTTATCGTTCACATGCGTGGGAGTGGTACATACGGCGAGTCACTCACTATTCACTAAATGATCGCTTTCTACGTACACGCTAGCAATGCACGCATACACATACTTGAGATATTGCCTATCTTGATAAATTAACCTCGCGGTGACTCCTTAAGAGGTTCAGCTGACCTAACACATCTTCCGAAGTATCGTTAATACAATTAGAAATTTACAAGAATTTATAAGAACTAAACTTAAATAATTAAGTTGTTTGTATCTTTTCCATACTTAATTTTCCAACAATTAAGTGCTTTTAATTTATTATTTTGTTTATTAATTATTAGTATATAATATATATATATATTATATACAATTGTGATGTCAACTTTCTATCTCCCCAAACACCAGTGCCGTATTAGACATTTTGCGCCCGGGTGCAAAAATAAATTTGCGCCCCTGTAAGGGACTTTCCCACTGAAAATATGAAGGATAGATCCTTATTTTAAGCAAAGAAAAGAATATTTATTTTACACAGTAGTGTATGCGTTTTTAAAAATATTGATTAATAATCTCATGAATCCCCTCTCCCGTCGCAAAGATACAATCGAGTGTATGCCACTTGAGCCCTGTTTTTAATTCACGATATAATTTTTTTTACTTAGGTAGGTACTTCATGGATCATATTAATGTCAAAATAAAAATAAAATCTACCTTATGCAACTTTATAAACTATGCAAATGAATATCATTATTTTTTTTTAAATATAGGTACGTATATTTATAAAATAATTTATTTTTTGTCTTTTAACAAAGTTAGTCTATGAT